GGTATGGCTGAGGCCTCCCATTTCAGTCTAAGTCCATTCTTGTACATAGTTGTATGTTTGACTTGTTGCCTCTCGTTGCATGCTTGCATTGTACCATGTTTGCATCACATGTTAAATTCCATTGTATTGCCTCTTGCATGATTAGCACATTGCATGCTTGCATAATAGATTGCATTGCATTTGGCATGTTTTGTATCTTAGCCTCATGTTGCATTCTTGATCCATGTTTGTACACATGCATTGCATTGCTTGGTTTGGGGTGTCAAACCAAGCATGAGGATTGAGAGTGTTCGTACTCCAAGTGACGTAACACGTCTCAATCCTCGGTTGCCGACGCCCTTGATCTCAATATGATAGGGTGTTGGCATTCATCTCTTTTGTTGCATGCATTTTACATTGAATGGCAAACTTGGCCTCTTAGGCCATCATGCATCAAAATGCATAATTGATGGCCTGAGGGCCGAGGGTCATGCTCCCTTGAGTCCATTGCATGATGGGGAGTGTAGCCATGCTCACATTTGTTTGAAAATTCCATGCCATACACTGCTTGCCCTCTGCTGCTGTCAACTGCAGGATTCTACAGGAAAAAATAACCGGCTGGCTACTTGGAGTGCCGACCGACCAAATACAATTAGCCGGTGGCTCAACCAATGGTCGATGACCATTCCCTTCGGCCGGTGGTGTTCCCACTTGGTCGGTGATGCTCCCTAGTGTTCAGAGAAGTATCCTTGGGACTTGTGCAAATTTTCAGAGGAGCAGGGTAGTGTAAACAGAGGCAACAATGGCATGGTATGGGTTTCCGAGCGAGACGAGTCAAGCATGTATCATTCGCGCATTCCGAGGCAGAGCTGCGGCAGTCTCTTTAGCTTCATATTTAAAATATTTTTGTGATTAATTTGTTAATTAATTAAGAGGGTCTGTAATAATTAATTAGCTAGGATAGTTGATTCATTATTTGGGCTGTATTATTCTTTTGGACCCTCCGAGCGAGGGCAATTGTGTAATAAGTGTGTGTGAGTATGTGTATGTCTTCCAACCCCACAGCTGAGGCGGTCCATGGATTTGCGTGCTAATTTACCTGCTTTCCTAGATTAATTTGTTAATTAATTAGGATTTTGTATTTATTTGGACTGTATTATTTATTCGGACTGTATATTATTTATTCGGACCCTCCGAGCGAGGGCACAATTGTAATAAGTGTGCGTGCGTGTGATGTATGTCTCAATTAACATACAACATGATAGCATGTTTGCATTCATTTATCTGTCTTACATACACCGGGCTCGGCGCATCATACTAACTGCATTTATGTTTCAATTCCGAGTTGAATACTTGTTAGTTGCAGCATTTCACATGCCATCTTTAGAATAGCCGAGCCTATCTTAGTTGCATTTTGCATGTGTTGCATTAGGCATTTTTGTATAGTTAGGATCATGCATGGATTTCTAACATAGCTTTTGTTTTGGCTTGGAGTACTTGGTAAACTTTTACGCTTTAGCATCCTTGCATGCGTGTGAGTGTTGCCATGACAGCATGATTACCATGAGGCTATTTGCTTATGTGATATAACTGCTTGAATGCCTGTGGATGGAGGTTGAATTACCTGAATTGGAATAATGCATTAAAACTGTGAGTTTTAATCCCACTTGATAGTGGCAAAAACCATCTTTTCTAAAGCCAAATTAAGGGTGGCAAAACCTGCATTTTAGCCTACTTACGAGTAGCAAACTGCTTTAAAAAACAAACATGAAATGTTTTGTTCTAACTCAGGCAATTCAGTCTATACTTGTATGCTGTGCGGATCACATAGTAAATCTAGGCTAATAACCAGAATAAGAACGCATAATGTTTTCAAAACAAGATATCATGGTTAGTAGAGGCCGATCTTCGGATCGGGCGAGAGGGGGTGCTCATAGATGACCTTCCCCAATCGTACCCAAGTTCCTAAGCCGAGGCATCTCTGGTGATAATAGACACGTGGCCTTAGGCAAACGAGTCAAGGTTTCCTAAATTCTCCCAAAATAAAATATTTATGTGGCGACTCTGTATCTAGCAAAGCAGTCCATGTTTGGCACTTCTTTACAAAAATTTGTTTTTCAAAACGATTTGCCGGATTTGGACTCTTTGGTTCAGATTAAGAACTGTGACAATTAGAGTCCGAACTGTAGTGAGCCCAAAACGAACAGAACGGGACTCATCCTCCCGGGGCGTTCGGGGACGTCTACACTTGGTTAGTCTCTTCCTTGGTAAGAGTGAATCGAAGGTTTGTAGGGAGAATAGTTCCTCTCCTAGTACTCGGGTGTTGGTGTTGTGTAATCAATTGGCCTTGTGTTTTGGCATATCCTTAATTTCGGGGACGAAATTCTTTAAGGGGGGGAGGTTATAGCGATTCCGGTATTCCCTGTTGTTGTTTAACTGTAATCCGGACTCGGTTTCGTAGATTTGTTGTTGTCTTATCCTCTTTTCTATCTCTTACTCTTTGTTTTAGAGTTTTGGGTTGTGCTGGGCAAGTTGGGAATAAGTTGGTTGTGTTTTAAAACTTAAAATTTTGCCCAGGTTTTGGTCTCTCTGCTCGAGCGGCGCTTTGACGCTCGAGCGGGCATTTGTTGTTGCCTCTCCGCTCGAGCGGTAGTTTGGACACTCGAGCGTGAATTTTCTTCTCTCAGCATTTTGGTCGTCTGCAGAAAATTCTGGGAGGGTGCATCCGGGGCTCGAGCGGATCTTTGGATGCTTAAGCGTGAACCTGTGTCTGACGCTCGAGCGGGGTGTTGTACGCTCGAGCGGACATGTTTTATATCAGTCTGTGAAATCACTTTTTGAATCACTTTTCACTTTTCTTTTCTCTCTCTTACTTTCCCAAAATCGATTTTTGAGAGCTCCTCACTCTAAAACCTAACTTCTCTCTAGGGTTTGATCTAGTAGGAGTGTTTTCCTCACCTTGGGCCTTTGTAAGAAGTGTGTTGATCGTCGAGGGCTTCGTTTTGATCCAAGAAATTTAGGATTTGGAGCACTTCCGAGTTTTGCTCTTCTTCTCCTTAGGTTCTACATTTGAGGTAGGGATTTCCTTGATCTTTTTCAATACTTCGTCTATAGATAGACATGTGGTAGTATTGTATTATATGAAAATCATATCCACGTTGGATTTGTTTGAAATCATGAGAAGGAACCTAGGGTTGGTTGTTTGAAAATGGTTATTTTATCATTGATGGTTGTTTTGGGCTAATTGGAGTATAAATTAGCATGTTATAGTTGAAAGAAGAAAAAGCCCTAAATTATATTTTGATTTGGTAAATTAAAATGGAGGGTAGTTAACCTATGTTGTAAATCTCTATTGTTAATGTGAGTTATGGCTTTATTATCACCGGAATTGGTTTTGTGGAAACAAAAGGGATGGAGTTGGTTTTGTGAAAACAAAAGGAAATGGAATTTGTTTTGTGAAATGAGAAAAGTATCTTTGACATAAGTATGAAAATTGGATTGTTGTTTCTTGAGTGTTAAATACACACACCTGAGGGGTTGTATCTTTAACTACCGTGTTAGTGTTGTTGTTGGGTTTGTGGTCTCATAGTAATTGAGCCTTTAATAGATGTACTAAATACTTGCATTTAGAGGTTTTGTCCTTGGTCATCGGTGGAGGATGACATGGTTGTGTTGAATTGTCGTGTATGCATTATACCATTGTTGATTGAACATTGTATGTGAGGAAGTGCTGAGATACATTATATATGTATACTTGCTCAGGGGGAATTAATTATGTGTTCATATACTTTGACACATTGCTTGTATCTTGATGGTTTATGTATATTTGTTATGCATGTTAGTTATGTCCTGTTGTATTTTGGTTGGTGGTGTTATACCTTGCGCTAAAAATTAGAGGTACCGTGACCTTCCAACTAGCGCCTGGAGAACTGACTGCGCTGAGAATCTAAGGTACCACACCCTTCCAGCTAGCGCCTGGTAAACTGGTATGTTGTTGTGAGAGGTGTATCTTTGGCTTACTACGCACATAACTGGTAGAGCAAAGTTTTGTTGTTGATGTTCCATTGTATCTGAGGATATCATGAATTTGGTTGGTTACAGTTTCGGAGGGCCAAGTTACCTCATTGGTTGATTATATACATGTTAGTGAGTTGTTATCTCCCTTTTTATAAAGGTATGTATGTATGGTTATGATTGTATTGGGAACGAACCAAAATGTCAATTTGTCATTTGGAAAATGGAAGAGAGTAATGGGCTTAGTGAGATTATTTCCTAAGTAATTGTTAATGTTATGAAGGATTGGAGTTAATGAAAGAAAAAGGAAAGATGAATCGCTTATAGCGTTGAATGAAATGGCTGTTTTCGGGAAAGTTCATACTTATATATATTTTGTATAAACTGTCACATTACTATTCTAGTATGAGATTGGGCATTCATGATCCTAGCTATCTGTAAGTTGTTATTGTTGAGGGCCATGTTGAGATCCCTACTGGACTATATGTTCATCCCATGTTGTTGAATCTTTTTCTGGTGTTGAGCTGAATGTGCTGCAAGATTTGGATCTTCTTATTTGTTGGCCACGGGGCCTCTCTTGTATTGGCGGAATGCCATATGTGTAAAAAGGTTGCACCCTTCTTCTTGATTCGTTAATGATGTAAGCCCAAGGGTAATTTATTTATTATACTCATGTTGTATTTACTTGCATACGAATGAGAGAAATGTTATTCACTTCTACGAGTTGAATATACGAGTTTATTTCCGTATGTTATCTCTGAAATGGAATTGAGTAAATGAAATTGGTAATACTTCGAGTAATAAAAAGTGGGGCGTGACACGTTGCCTCAGGGGTTCCAGTCTCCTTTGTATAACATACTTTAAACATGTGAGCACGAGTTGGAGAGTGTCCCAACTTATTTTTCTACAAAATAATATATTTCAAAATATAAATTATATCATTTTGTGACATTATGTATACCTTATCATATTAAATATACAACATGAAAAGATGAATTAACCTTCTCCTTCCGAACACGTGGAAAACTTTTTGTTCCAGTAGTATGATTATACTTTCGCTTGGCACGACTTGCTTTGTTCTTATCACTTGATGCCTAAAATTACAAATGCATAAATTAATGGTGTCCAAACTACGGCAAGTAAAATAACATATAATGATCAGATCGAGTATACCTTTACTTCTTCGATGGCCCAATACTTAATAAGGTGTTCCCACTTATCAGCATATACTCTACTATCTTTATAATGCTTTTGTTGGTCAAAACTCAAGTGGTTCTTATAATAATTTTTCTTTATGTTTCCCTTCCAGTCTTTTAACTTCTTACCAGAGCACTTCATAACCCACTTCCTAGCATGACTTGGAAGATCAAACTTTGACTGAAAAGAGAGAGAAAAAGAGCAAGAGAGAGAGAGAGAGAGAGATAGAGAAAGAAGAATACAATGATAAAAAATTAATCTTCCCACATAAAAAATTAAAAATAAACAAAATTATAAATAGTGTTGTTTTAATCACATTACTCATGTTTACTATTTTTCACATGTGATCATCTTTCGCACAATATTGTGTCATTTACCTGTACAAGTGCCCATATGTGATCTTTGTAATGTTCTGGGACTTTATGCCAATTTTTGTAAATGAGTGGTGCATTTTTCCCATCACGCACAATAGTTCCAATGAACGATGATAACTTTGTTGCCAATTTGTCATCAGGTTGGCCAAGTATGTTCCAATTGACTGTTAGGCACTCATCATCACGAGTACACCAAATATTACGCATTTGAGTGGGACCTCTAGTTTTCTTTTGTCCACTAGCACCATCTAGTTATAATAAATAAATAAATAATAATACTAATAATAAATTATATACGAAGAAATAATAACATTTTTATAAGGGTTGAACTTGCATACCTGCATTATCATTGGCTTGACTAGAATTTGGCTGTATCTCAGATGGAGTTGACACACTAAACTCACCAACATTGCCTGAGCGAAACTGAAGATATGGGTCCATAGGCTTTTTGCTTTATAGATGAATCCTAGTATGATTCAAGTAGAATAGACAAATCAAATTGTAAACTTAGAATGATCCAAATAAATTATTTGCAAATGAACAAAATACTTGAAGAAAATTAACAAAAAAAAAAAAATTGTAAATTCACCTTTATTGCGTTGCTATCTTGGTAGTGACTAAATGTAACATATAGTGAATAAATATTTTGTAGCCACATATGAAAATCACATAGTTAAATTAAAAACGCATTATTCATTCTTCAAACAATCAAACTAAATTAACAAAAACAATGATAAAGAAAGAGAACAAAATGAAACTATAGAATTGTTTTCAAATATAAATAACTAGCATTGTTCAATAAGTTTAACAGTCACATAAGATCTAATTCTTCCTCATCTCCATCATCATGAACATCGTTGTCTCTCAACACCTGAGAAAGTGGTGCATCTACAATTGCAGCAGACATGTCTGTCCGAACCAAATCAAAATTATTGTCCTCATCACCACTTTGTGTATTGCATACAATACTCTGCAAGTATGCCTCCACATTGTCCACAGAAGACCCCACATTCATATCATAAAAATCTCTCGGATTTATCTTGATAGCAACTTGTCAATCTTTGTGTTTCAGGTCTTTTACATACATTACCTGTTCTGCTTGAGAAGCCAACACTAAAGGCTCAGCATCTTTCATTAATCATGCAAAGTTGACTAGTGTGCAATCGTTATCTTGTCTTTTCCCTGATTGTGACACCCATTCACCTTTAAATAACACAACCCTCTTCCCAAAAAATAATCTAACTCAATTATATTTGTTAACACGCCATAAAATGTAACATCTCCAGAGACCGGATTTCCATCTCTACCACTTGCAAAGCTTCGTGTTTTTGTCATGCCAATAATCCCACTATTTTGAGTTTTTCTCTTTCACTCGATCTCCTTAGTATGGAATCTAAAACCATTTATCAAGTATCACTTATATTTTGTGAAAATTCTATTTGGACCATGAGCCAAACATCTAAGCTCTTCAGTTATTTGACTATCCCCTGCATTATGCAATTCCTCAACCTGTTTTCAGACAATTGACGACATAACTTCTATTAGTGTGGAATGAAATTGAAGTTAATATCAAATCAAATTTTAAGGAACTTCAAAACACTGCTTACATGTTTATCAAACCATGTTGGAAATGTTTCACTATGAATGTGATCAATGGCCATTTCACGAAGACGTGGATTTTGTATGGCAACAAGTCTACGGTGTTGTCTGTATGCCATATAAAAGATTTGTGAGTGTGTGAAAAAAGTATGTAAAATAATAATAATAATAATAATAATGATAATAATAATAATAATAATAATAATAATAATAATAATAATAATAATAATAATAATAATAATAATAATAATGAAATTGATTACAGATGTCGAGTGTCTTACTCAATAAATTTGTTGACTATCTCACAATTAAATAGCACATATCGATGTGCCTTTTCTTTTGTGCCATCATCCATTGTGTCTATCATGCCCTTACCAAATGGTTGGCCAGGCATTGAGAAAATAGATAATCCTTCGGTACCATTACCCCCCTCATCATAATTTCAAGACATCCGGTTGAACCGTGTCTTAACACTTTCCATATACCTCGAGCAAAATGTCAAGCATTCATTTGAAAGGTATCCTTTTGCCATACTACCCTCCGGTTGACTTCTATTTTGCACATATGAATTTAATCTACTCAAGTACCTATGCTTTGGAAAGTTCAAAAAATAAAATTTTAACTCAAGTTCGATAATAACAAAAGTAAAATATAATAATGATGGTAAAGAAATATGTAATTTAATATAAACATTACCTCTCAACAGAATACATCCAACGATAATGCACAAGTCTTGCTAATCTAGCCTCAGATGCTAAGTGAACCACCAAATGCACCATAATGTCAAAAAAGTTAGGGGGAAATATTTTTTCAAACTTACAAAGTGTTATCGGAATTTGCCTTTCAAGGCACATAAAGTCTTGTGCCAAACCAACTTTAGAACATAACTCTCGAAAGAAATTACTCAACTCAATCAAAGGTGAAGTTACATGTGAACTCAACATTCCTCGAATTGCTAAAGGGAGTAATTGCTGCATCAAAGATGGCAATCATGACTTTTAAGTCCAAAGATTCTACGTTGCTTTAAGTCGACGCATCGTGAAATATTCGCTGCATAACCATCAGAAACTTTAACAGTCTTCAAAAATTTACAAAAAACATCTTTTTCTTGTTTCTTTAATGAGAAACAAGATAGAGGCAAGATGGTTTTATTTGCTGCATTTTCTTTTGGATGGAGTTCAGGCCTTATACCTTGAAGTTTCAAGTCAAGACGTGCATTTAGATTATCCTTTGTCTTCCCCTCTAAATTCAGTAGTGTTCCAAGCAAGCTCTCATATACATTTTTCTCAATGTGCATCACATGAAGATTGTGACGCACTAGATTATCCTTCCAATAAGGTAATTCAAAGAACATGCTTCTTTTCTTCCAATTATATGGTAATTCTGGATTAGTACTCATCTTTTCATAAGTGATATTGAAGCCATGTAACATATCCAATACCATAGAACTAGTTAAAGGATTGGGTCCAGTTCTTTTTTCTTTAGTACCATCAAAAGATCGCTCATCATCTCAAAATGCATGATGTTTGTCCAAGAATCGATGATGACCCATGTAACAATGTTTTCGGCCATGCTTCAACCACTGGAAGCATATGTCTTTGTGGCATGAAGGGCATGCATACTTCCCCTTAGTACTCCACCCTGACAAATAAGCATAAGCAGGGAAGTCGTTGATAGTCCACATTAATGCTGCACGCAATTGGAAATTTTGTTTAATTGATGCATCATATGTCTCTACTCCATCCACCCATAATTCCTTTAATTTATCTATTAAAGGTTGCAAATACACATCAATATTATTTCAAGGTGCACTATGACCAGGGATAATCAATGATAATAGAAAATTGGTCTGCTTCATACACATCCATGGAGGCAAATTATATGGTATAAGAATTACAGGCCAGGTGCTATACGTACTGCTCAATGTTCTGAAAGGGTTCACACCATCACACGCCAACCCAAGTCTGACATTTCTACAATCTACTGCGAAATTAGAATGTAGGTGGTCAAAAGTCATCCAAGCTGGAGAATCGGCAGGATGCCTCATACAACCATCATTGGTGCGACCTTCTTTATGCCACTTCATAGATGATGTTTTTTTGGATGACATGAATAACCTTTGTAGCCTTGGTATCAAAGGAAAGTAATGTAGAACCTTAGAAGGTGTTTTATAGTTGCGTTTTTTAGAGGATGCGTCGTTGCCTGAATTATTTTTCTCTGTTACATACCTAGATGTATGGCAAGCATAACATTCAGAATCAGTTTTGTGCTCATTCCTATACAACATGCAATCATTGGGACATGCATGAATTTTCTCATAACTAAGTCCTAACACCATGACTATCTGCTCAACTTCATAAACAGTATTAGGCAGTGTTACACCCTCTGGGAATGCCTCCTTCAATAACTCTAATAACATGGTGAACGATTTATTACTCCATCCGCCTAAATTCTTGATATGAAATAACTGAAGGATGAATGAGAGCTTTGTAAAATTCCTACATTGTGGATAAAGCTCCTTTTGTCCATCACGCATCAACTTGTAGAACTTCTCTGCTTATGGATTTGGTTTATCTCCCAGATCTTCAGGGTTGTCTCCATCGACTCTATCATCATCATTTGAGATTCCAAATGCCTCGTGTACTAATCCATGTGTATCAATATTTAATTGTGGCCTATTCTGCATGTGTGTATCAAGACCTGTTGTAGCAACAGATGATGCTTCACCATGTAAAACCCATTTAGTGTAACCCTTTGTGAAGCCATCACATGCTAAGTGATCATATGCAACTGATCGAGTGGTGGGAAGTGTAAGTCCACACTTAATGCATGGACATATGATCTTATCCTCATAACTTGCATTAGTAAATGCAAAATCAAGAAACATGTCAACTCCTTTCTGGTATGCATCACTTAATCTTGATTGATACATCCATGTCTTATTCATAAGTAAACAATCTCGATTAAACAAGTGTCCAAAGTGTTTCTAGAACATTCAAACATGCATATATCAATAACAAGTATTTGAAAGTTATGATTGACAAAAACAACTAAACTTGATTTCGCAAGAACTATAAGATACTAACAACAATGAATAACATAACATATTCAATAGTCTTGGGTAGGGCATGGGGCATGCCTCTTGTATGTTGTGTCAGCGTTTTGTTTTTAATTTATGACTTACTTACCTAAAAAAAAATCTACCTCTAGGCAAGGATGTTATATGTTATTCTGTAAGGTAACTGTTGCAGGTTTGGCTAGCCTCTTTTAGGAAGTGTGTTGAGTGATAAGAACCATATAGATAGGGAGTGAGTGATCTACAAAGCTTTGTGGGTTGTGTGATGTAAGCCCTCAAATGGTTTTCTTACGGTTGAGCATGCAGGTTGATCTGAATTGTTCTAATTTGCTGCTAAAACTAAGTATTAGACTACTATGTAATTGTGAGTGTAACATGCTTTTCAATTTTTTTTTTTGGGGGGGCGGGAAGGGAATGTACGTTTGAATTAAATTATTTATGAGAATATTCCAATATTTGTGTCCTAAAAGTATATCATAGGTTATTACAGTCTACTATCTTATAGCATCTAACTTGACTTTTCCTTTTCCCCTTTTTGGGAATATTCA